TGAAATTTGTCTACACTCAGTACCGTTTCCTATTTAAATAGCTATAAATTACTAATGCCTTTTTTGAAAAGTAACAATTTTGAAATCAATGAAGTCTTCTAAAATGGTAGAGATGCTCACAGTCTTGAAAGCAAATCAGGGCTTTTGTGCATGCTTTAATTTTCTTCTCAGGCTTTGGTTTTATGTGAAAATTTATTTTCAACCAAACCTATGAAGGAATCATATAAGACTGTCACATGGCTGAAGGTTTGAGACCAGCCAGACATAAATAATAAAAGAATAGTTTTTTTCTTGGGGGGAAACACTTTAAGGATAAAGCATACTTGTCTTAAGATACAAACAAATATTATACTTCATCGTGCTAGCACACAAGTGAGAAGTCTCAGATGCAAAACTCATTTGATGTAGCCCCAGAGTAGTTTTAAAATGTTTAAATCTGATGAGGTAATTCTGTCATTGGAGATTACAAAAGCAGCAAAAGAAACCTTGACTGAACCCTGGAGTGAGTGTGCTCCCATTCCAGTATTTCTCCCTAGCTTCTTCTAGGGTCCAATGGAATTGCTGTCAGGTAACTAAGTAAGTAAAGGGTGTTTGAGGTTAAGGGAAGATGACCTTTGGATGCTTGCAGAGAAGCACAGCCTGGCTGCCCTGTGGGTGAAACACAGATGGACAGACACTTACCTGACACACTCAAATCTATATCAACAATGAAGAAACAAGAAGAGATTTTGTAGTAGTATAGCTTGTGTATAACTTTTCTAAACTTCATCGGCCAAAGTAGATTGGCAACTTATTAATTTCACACAACTGCAGAATTTAAATGAAGCGTCACTATTATTACACTTCAGTCAATGGACAGAGAGATCATGTCAGGTGGGATTTATTACTGGCATAAGTCAATATAATATTCCAACTACAGACATATAGAAAAGAAACACTGAATTCTAATTTCTCAATTATTTTCTTTTGAATATATAGGTATAATATATTTCTCTGTACAGTTACAAAACAAAATATACAGATGGCATTGTGCCACCACTTTGAAAGATGCTTTGGCATTTGTGGGAAGTATCAAAATAAATGAATAAATTTCTGTTTGCATGGCGAGGGCAGGAATAGAGAAGAACAGAGATGCCCTCAGCATGGACCCAGAGAAGGCTGATGGGACTACGGTATGAACAAGGCAGCCCACTGCCTTCTTTGAAGAAGAATGTGATAAATTACAACTTGTCATGGTCAGTTCCAGGAAACATTGAGGGTGTGTAACGTTTAGTCTTCCCACAAGCTGCTGTCTCAGCCACCAAATAACACACAGGACGCTATATTAATTGCAAAGCTGTTGGCCATTTTCTTGGTTTCTTATCAGCTAGCTCTGACTTGATTATTAATCCATAATTACTAATATTTATTTTATAAGGACTTACCTTTTTGGGGGGCGCACTCCTGAGCGTCCATTACTCCCGGGAGATCACTATATTTCCCAGAATCCTCCTGGACTTCTAGTCCCACCTATCTTGTTTCCCTATTGGCCAACAGTGCTTTATTCAAACCAGTCAGACACATATTTATAGAATGATGTTTCCCAGTAAGGGTAGAAGTGAATTTCCACATATGAATTTTGCAGAGATTGAAGCAGTATACACAAGCAGTTAGTAATCATGTGACTGTGAAAAATTATGAAATATTATCCAAAAAATGAATGATTAAAGATAACAAAAATATGTCTGGTTTCCTTATACCATGTCTCAGACCCAGTTTGCCCACTGTGTCCATGGTCTAAGGCAGAGGATAATTTTGATAGTTATGTTAAGTGGTCAAATTCATAGGCACTGCTCAAGAGGAAAGAATCACAACATTTTATACACTTAGGGGATGTGCAAAGTCTTATAATTATCAGAAAAGTAAATGATTTTTCCTGGTTGTTAGGTGGTATCTTCAAATGATAAATATTATTCACATAATCTATAGTGTAAAATATCATGGAGATAGTTAAGATATCATGGATGCAGCTAAGATACCAAGTCTTCTGAAATTTGCCGTGGTTTAGGTAAATCATGATACAAGGTGATTTTTCAAAAACAAATGCCATATTCACATTCAGAGGAGTTAGTATATGTGACAATATGCTCTTCTCTGTATTTTAAGAAAGATGTGGATGACCCCCTCTAAAAAAAATCAATAAGCGGTAGGAGGTAGCCTCACCTTTGCATTAAACTATATCTGAAGCCAGTCAATATTCTCCAAAATGTTTCAATCAATGGTTATGCATTCATAGAAGCAAAAAAATCTGGTACACACTCAAATGTTAATATAGAATATGCAGTGCTCCATATGATGTATATATGGAGGCCCATGCTGACCAGTGACCAAAGTGATATGAGCCCTAGAACTTCAAATATTCAGAGCATTTAGTTGCTTCTTCTGGAATGCATTAGCATGCTAATTAATCCCTGTAAGGAGTTCTGCCTTCCCTGGGGAAAATGGCTTCACTTTCAGTGATTACAGTTAACACTAGTTAACAATGGTATTGAGATAATAAGTGGACAGCTTCACAGATGAGTTATTCGCAAGTTTCAAACTGAGAAGGGAGTCTAGGTAGTTTGATGAAATATATCCACATCTCCATCTAGATGGGCATTTTCCCCATATCCACCATTTCATTGCAATGTGCCTGTCACCGATCTCTCAATAGCAATCATGGTCAACACCACAGGGACATCTGAGACCTCGTGTTTGAAAATCCCTTATCTTACTTCATTATTATTCCAAAATGCAATGCATTTCAAGATATTCAAGGAGAAGCCATAGAGCACTTTCTTTAAGTGGGAAGGAGAAAATTTAGAAGTTTAGAAAGAAAAAAAATCACATATGTTCATGCGAAGTATTTTTATTATGAAGTTGCCAGGAAGTATTGTACAATAAGAAATGCTAACAGAGACAATAACTCCATGGCTCCCATTGCGGGATATTGTGGTAACTTTCTTGTCTTATAACTATGATTGCTGTTCACATCTCACCATGCCTAATTTTTAAGGTAAGCTTTCTCATCTCATAAGGGACAAAGGAAAGCATACATAGTACAGGTGTCTGGTGAGGGCCTCCGTTGCAGCATACCCCCTGTAGATAAGAAGAGGTAGAAGGATTTTGTCTTTATAACCACACAGTCGCTAACCCTGGGAGGTTATACATGTAGGATTTGTTAACTATGACTTGTACCACACTGTCCAGCCTTTAATGTGGAGGTCTGAAATGATTGGCAATTCCTTACAACGCCCTCTCTAAGGTTTCCTTGCATAATTTTATGTGATTTGCTGTGTGGCCCTGTATCTCTGTAAATGCCTTTCAGTGAGATGAAACTTCCTTTTAGCTGATTAGAGAATAATAGAGAGAGAATCATTTCATCTCAGTAACTTACACATGTTGCTCTACTTTCTCCAAACTGCATAATCTGAAGTTCCCCTCTTTATGTCCCTTTGTAAACCATCAAGGTTTTTGCATGGAGGGCTTGTAAGACCTTCTATCAATGGTCTGATTGCCCCATTGCATATGCATCACTTCAGTGATTAGAAACAAAAGTCAATAAAATGAGTTTCACAGAAGCGACTTCATAGCCATCATTTGAGTCCCAGGGAGATTATGAGAATATTATTCATCTTTACTATCAGAGCTGATGGGTACAAGGGAATGAAAATGTTGCAGACTCATTGATTGATAGTTTGAAAGAAATGTGTCAGAATTTTGTCCCAGTCTCATATCCAATGAGCAAGAGATATGGTTCCTGGTGTGTAGAAAAATAAGCCTGTTTTTTTTCCCTTTCCTCGCCCTCCTCTACTTGTATTCAGTGTGCTTGTTTTTATAATATGTGTGCATTAATAGTTCTGACAAAGAGAAATACAAAAACGACAGTAGCAGAAAATGGGAGTATTTTCTTAAGTGCTACATTTTCCTTAAAAAAAAAAACAAGCAATTGCAAAAACAGCCCCAGAGAATGTTTTGTGCATGTATAACTTTTCATCACCTCCCCCAACACCGGCTTCTGCATTCCATTCAAAAGCTGATCCATCGTCAAAGGCATATTTTTCTTTTCAAAAGATCTTGGAATAATAGTTGCTGTTTTGAACAGGTTAAAAAAATCACATCTCCATTAAAGAAACCAAAAAAAAAAAAAGAACAAAATTCTATTCCTGTGTAACTCTACTTTGTTTACCTTCTAAATTGTAACTTCTTTCACTTGGTGCCTTTGACTTTTCCTTTAGTGAATTGGACTCACTAAAAATCTATGGGCAAGGAAATGTGAGTTTACACTAGGGCTACATATCAACAGCGGGAAAGAGGGGTGCATCACTTTCAGTATCAGACTTATGGTTTCCTGTGTCTTGTCAATCAATAATCTTGCAGGTGCTAATATAGATACATAAATATATATGTATATATATATATTAATATATATATGCATGCAGAGTTGGATTATGTGTGCATTGTGATGAATTATTTCCTTCCCTGAAATATTGAGAGGTCAAAGATGTCTCCAGAGGAAAAGGAAAACATGATATAAGATAATATCTATTATCTCCTTCCCTGGCCATTCATACTCTAGGATCTTGACACCAGTTGTGGCAATGCATGCAGTAAGATCATTGGTTGTGGCATGCACACAGTAAGATCATCAGCTGTGGCATGCACACAGTGCGTCTACTATTGCCCTTGACTGATTGAACTCATTCTGCTGCACTGCAGCTCCCCCTCTTGGCTGTCTTTTCCTGCCTGCTTTCCCTTTACCTATATGTCTACCTTGACGATCTCCAGAAAAGCAGTCAGTAGAATGTACAAAACTGAGGCATCAGAGTGGTGGTGTTTTTTCTTAGCTCATTAGAGAACCAGGTGTAAGGGATTTTATAGTGCCTCCCCCCAAGGGGGAGGAGGGCCAAGCTGCACAGGGATAAAAGGGGCAGATAACGCTCTTTGTATGGTTCCAACTTTGACACACAGGGCCTGTTTCATGCGTAATGGTTACGGCCATTTTATTTTTCCGATTTACCGAGTAACACTAACAGTCATAACCAGAGGGACGATGGATCCAAGAGGGAAGCTGCTGTTCAAATTCTGTGCCTTTCAAATTATTATAATCAACGTTGAGCCTAGTCAGTAGTGTCTCAATTTTTAAACTCATTGTTCCTTATCGTTGGTAGCTAGATTTGAAAATAGCATGCAAAATGAAACTTTGTTAGTATTTCACAAAACCCTTGTCCTATAAAAGCAGTAAAATTCTGTTTTAATACATAGGATGCCACTGTAATCACATAGTTTGGGACCTCAAGACGGCCATCACCAAGGTACTTGGGCCTCTTGGATTTGCATGTTCAAATGTTTGTTACTTGTGCCTTATTTAGAAACAGTGCTTAAGACAAAAATACTTTTCTCAGCAACACAAACACATTGTCTTTGAGGTCGGGCATAAAAGCTACATCCACCTGATTCCACCGCTGTACTGGCATCATTCAGATGATCCCAGAAGCAGTTTACTAGTAAAACTGGGCACTTCATTATCACAGTAATTGAGTAATTAAAATGTTCAAGAGGACCTGAAACACATGTTCCTTTCCTGCTTTTGAATTACTGATGTAAATCATGCTGATCCAATGCTTGACATGACCTGAAGAAAAACAACTAACCAATCAGAGCAGAAATAGGTCTTAAATGTAATTTCACCATGAAAACAGTTTATGCAGACAAAACTAAAAATCTGCGTTTGCCCATCATCCAGATGAAACAATTTTGATTCGTGTTTATCCTGCTTTGACACCACCCACTTCCTTTCTTTTTTTTTCTGAGTCATTGACTTGGATCTTCATCAGTAATTCCTGTATTTCAGAATTGCTTTATTACTCAAATTCAAGCTTAATTTTTAGACTTCATAAAATCTATTGAAGGCCATCTTTGACCTAGTCCAAATGCTTAGCATGTCTTTCCCAGTGTTGATTATGTTTCCCCTTACTTCATGTTTCAATAATATAATTTTCCTTATTTTATGCTGCCAGCTGTTTATGAAATCTTTTTTTTCCTGGTTGAGTGTATCAATAGGGTGACTTTACTCTCACTGAACTAGTAATTACAGTGTAATACCTGGTTCCAGTTTCTCTTTCTCTTTGAATAAAATAAGTTGTTATATCCAGACGTTGGCCTAAGGAAGCCCTTCTTTTGCCTGCTTTGTGACATAGTAATGCCACTGTCTACTAAAGGCAGATGAAGTTGATGCAAACACTCCACTCTGGTGCTTTGGGTCTTTACTACATCTTTTCCAAAGTCATGCTTACCTTTGTTAGCGACTGCCTGTGTCTTTGAGCTTGCCATGCTCAGTTCATTCCACTAAGGATGAGCCAACAAGTATTGCTGAAATGATGCCAATTATTTCTCCCTATTAACGGTTCTTAACTATAAAATCTTCTCCAGTTAAACAGTGTATAAGAGATTTTAAAGAATATCGGTACAAATATTTATATGTAAATATGATGAATTATGGAGAGATAAATTCAACATAGAGTCACTGCCAGTAACTGATTTAGAGTATTAAAAGAGAACAAAAGAAACAGATTTTACACGTGCATTTGTGTTTTTATTTTAAATTACATGTATGCATGTTTCTGTATGTGGACGTGTGTTGGTGCGAGTGCAGGTACCCATGGCTGCCAGGAAAGGGTGCCAGGTTCCTCTAGAGCTGGAGAAGCAGATGACTGTGGGCTGTCTGATGCGGGTTCTCTCAGCAAGAAACTAAACCATGGGACCATATTTCCATCCCAAGAAGCACCTTTATATCTCTACGGTCTACCCATATAAAGGACATTTCTCTTTAAATGTTAATTGTTATAAAGCTAGACACTGCAAAGTTTAAGAGTATTTAAATAATTCATATTTATATATTACTTCTAAAAATATTTCTTACCTATCCACTATCTGGAGGTTACTTTCATATAAATGGTATTTTATTGACCAAGATTTGAATAGGAACTCTGGAGAATTTGTCTATAATATATATCCACTTTGCAAGACTTGGACATAGCAAATATTTTAATTTCCTAATTCTTGATAAGAAAGCTAAGAGGTTAGCTGTCCAAAGCTATGCTCAAAGAACAATACAAAATGCAATATTAACTTTTTCTATGAATATGTTGTATAATATTAATAAACATGTGTTGGAATCAAGAACAGTAATATGATAATTTATTTTAGAAACCACTCATTTAGGCAGTATAAGGTGGCTCAATTTCATGGGTTTTGACTGGTAACTCAGATCTAGTGAACCCTTTCCCTATGCATGTTTGCATATTATTTTTGTAGTGGTAGCCCACATGGGATTCAATCCTCATCATTTTCTATATCACCAATAACTTATCTGAAAACACAATTTATTTTAAGTTTAATATAAACCTCCCCCAACATTCTATGACAGGATTCAAATTTAGAGATGTAAATGAAAACTTTTATTTTAATAAAAACTCAATTATCTGCTTGTGTGGTAAGTTACCTTCAAAATGTGAACTCTGGCAGGAGGGCACAGATCCTGACTTTTGATTAATTTTTACTTATTTCCCAATATAGACATTCTCATTTGGGAGCTGGATGGTTCCATAAATATTTGAGTAACTAAATGATTGACTCAAACTCAATGTGGGTGAAATAGTTTTCTTTAACCTAATTTAGATGCTTTGCATGCAATTTATGATCTATTCTTGGTTAATTTTCTTGAAGTAGTGTAATTTCTGCTATATACATGCACATGCATACATGTGTAGATATAGATAGAAGATAGATAGATGCCTTTATTTCTATTATGTAGGTACAGTGATGTACATATTTCTGCTTTCTAATTATGCATATATGGTTTCATAGTAATTGAATTATATAGAATAATTAAATGATGTAGACTGGCAAAGTGTTAGCTTGTGCCCAAGAACAGTGAAAAGTTCTTCTACATAGACATATGTCATATAAAGGGAGACACAGAAGCACGGTCTTATGCCCAGAAAGCCATTCTTTCCATCTGAGGCTTAACTGGGTGCAACATTTCGATGTTACTCTACTTATATGTGGTGGATGGAGCTCTGACAGGTTTTAAAGACTAGAAAACAACGCTGTTCTTCAGAAATGCTAACTGAATTCCTCAAGCCTATGTTCTAGTTGCTGATTTCCTTAGAATGTCATATATTTCATCTTTAAGAGTTAATTACTGGTTATGTACCTCAGTAAACATGAGTAGGCCTAACAGGTAACACTGTAATTAAAGAAAAAATGAAGCCGGGCGGTGGTGGCACATGCCTTTAATCCCAGCACTCGGGAGGCAGAGGCAGGCAGATCTCTGTGAGTTCGAGGCCAGGCTGGACAGCCTCCAAAACAATACAGAGAAACCCTGTCTCGTAAAAACCAAAAAAAAAAAAAGAAAGAAAGAAAAAGAAAAAGAAAAAAGAAAAAATGTAATTGTGTGCTCAATTTTCTATACTCATCAGTCTCCAGAAGACATCTATCTTCTCATTAGATACAGTTTATTTTTAATATTCTTCAGTTCAAAGAAGGCTCTATGTCACAGACACCATAGAAAACAGACATACACACACATGCGTAAGCACACACCACACACACACACACACACACACACACACACACACACACACGGATGTTTGTCAGCATCGCAAGATCACAAGAGGTGTGATCACTGTAATTTAAAACTCTTTCTTCCAATCTTTGTTTCCTCTGGGATGCTGAAGACCAGGCCTAAGCCTTAGCTAACTCCCTTGTAGCTCTTTTAAGAGGTTTGTAAACACAATAACTGCGCCAAACCCAATCCCCAGTCCTGAGTCCTGTGTTTTACCTGTTTCACATGATGGATGATTCAGTGAAAAACTCATTCTCTGGCAGAATGTTATTACTCACCCATTTGGTTGTCCATAAGGGTTATGTTTTTCTAGAAGCTATTGCTCAGCTCCCTCCATTTTCTCTGCTTCTGGAGTGATTTTCATTGTTTGCTCTGATCATCCTCAGGGAGTGCATGTGGAGCCATAAATCTACACCCTTCTGGTCTTATTATCCACCTTGTAACGTAGTGCTGCTGCTCTGCAATTCAGTTAATTCTTAAATGTGACATATGTAGTGATTATGATCATTAAACATCAATATATAGAAACATCATTGAGCATCAGCACAAAGAAAATGAAGTTTCCTATTCAGAGGAATTCCTACTCAAGAGAATTTCTTTAACTTTGGTACATATTTAAATGCAGTTCTGCACACATCAGGTAGTTTTTCAGAAAGGTAGAGGGTGAGAGAACAGTGCATCATTTTACCACCCCCTTGGAGTCACAGTAAATCTGAATGTCAGTTGCGCAATCCCTAGAAGACTAGTTGAAAACCAGCATTTCACAGATGGGAAAACATAAGCACCCAGAGAGGCCAAAGTGACTAAAGCTAGAGAGTAGAGACATCATTTCTTCCTTTGCCCCTCACCTTGGAGCCATGAGTACCACACATGTATTTTGTGTTCTACTGATCTTGGGTATTCCGTGTAACTGTTGTGGTTTTTGTTTTCTTGGAATTGAACAATACCTAAACTGCATCTTACCTTTGTGAATTATTTCCAATAATTAGATATTTGCCTCATATGTTCTGCAATACAGCATTAGAAAAATACATATAACCACACTTTGCGAGAAAATTATAGTAAAAATGCTGCTGAGTTTGCTGACCATAGACATGGAAAACAAGCATGCCCTTTTAAATTAAAATTAGTGAATAACTTGGGGGTTGTAAAGGTTGTGCTTCTTTTTGAGTAGTATTGAATTTTTAGTGCAAAGGCAAGAGCTGTTAATAGCTCGAAAATTGGACAAGTGATTAAACTTTGTCAGTCAATCTTAGCCAGACATAGCTGCAATTTAGTTTTCATCAGGATGGAGGCCAGTGTTCTTTTTCTCTTAGATAACTTTGATAATTACCAAGACGTGACAACTGACCAACGCATTCCTCTGCATCCCAAGTACACATACTCTCAGGCCTCTTGCAATAAGAACAGTGCAAATAGGAAGAGAATCACTGATTTTGATTTTCCAGTTTTAAGATCAGGCATCAGCTGTAGCCTTGGCACACCACTACCTTCAATGCATTAGCACATATGTTATGATGTACACCTCTTCTGCATTAGGTATATTTATTTACTGTATTACAGCTACAATGTAAGAGATTTAGGATATAAACCTAGCCATGCCCATGCCTATAACTATTGAAAAATAGAAACAAGTTGGATGTAGTAGGTTCAAGCCACTTGGGCCTCACAAGAAACTGCAGGCAAATTTAACATGGACCTTGCTACAAGATAGAAACCATGTCTATTTTATCCATAGTAGCTTCAGCCCATTATGACATAGGATATTTTTAAGAAATATTAGGTAAAGAGGGACACAGAGTGATATCCCGAGGACAGTAGAAGTACTTCTGAATGCTCAGACATTCCATTTGTACCATCACCAACCATTACTTGAACACTTCCACCAGGAAAGCCCAGAGCAACAATATTAAATTCAGTAAAATACACATCTTTATTTTTTAAAAGGACATTTCCATTTTGTTAACACATAGGTTTCACTATGACATTTTCATGAATGCATAGAATGTACTTTTATATTAAACCCCATTGATTTTCTTATTTTGAGGTGCTTTTTTGGGGGGATACTCCATGTGTAAGCATTACATTAACATCACTTCCTCCCATCCCTCATCCCCTTTCCAATTCTTCTTGCCTCACCACCTTGACTCCCATAAAAATTCATGAGTTTTAGTGATAATCATATATGTGTGCATGATTGCATTTATATATGTGAGAGAGAGAGAGAGATTGTAAGAGCCATAGGAACAAAATGTCTGCTGCTAGCTAATGTCCTCTAGATGTGACATAGAAGTAAACTCTAAATGAGACTAAGAAGCATTAGTTTCACAGGATAATTGATAGCATTTCATTGAATGTAGGTGCTAACCATAGAAACCCTTCATGAGTTTAATATTGAATGCCAATATCCCAAGAGAGTACTACCACCATTGTTACCATAATTAGATCATCATATTGCCATTCAATAAATTCAGAAGTTGGAACACCTCACTTGGTCCATGACAATGAGATGGCAACCATTTTAGAGAACAGCCGTGGGAAGCCATCAAGTAAAGCCAGGAACACCAGGATACAGGGCACTCCTGCACTCAGAGAAACTGGCTTTCCTCCTTAGGGGCTGCACAAGACCAGACTCATCAGCATTCAGTCCTGAATACAGGGAAGGCTCCCCAGGCCCCAGCCCCTGCTTAGGAAGCTGTTGGCAGCTGAGTACAGTTGAGGGAAGGGGAGTCACTGTCCTTAGGGGTGTAGTGACTGGGGAATTGCTTCCCAGTGAGCTCCAGGGGACAGCATTCCTGTCTTATATCATTTGATATGATGTCACTAGCCATGTATAAAAGTGCTATCAATTTGTGTTACACTAATTTAAGAAAATACTTTCTGAAATATTTGCAGATCTAGAAGAGTGGTAATCACGCTATATGTGAAAATGTGGATGGAGGATTTAACTGCTTCTGTGGGGAGGGTTATCAGACCTCCATGGGGAGAGTCACGTTTCACACTTAATGATGGTGAAATATATATCAATCTTAACTACATAAAAATATTTACTACACATTTATGAAGTATTAATGACATTCCCAAGGTTGAACAAGCCAAGGTTAAAAACTCGAGGTCACAAAACAAAAATCAAGAACAAAACAAAAATTAGTAATGAGAGGGGAACTTGTTTAGGAAAAGAGATTAGAGTGGGATAAGAAAGTGAGAGGCTGAGTAATCAGAATACGCAGTGCATATGTATGAAATCAACAAAGAAGACACTGTGAAATCTGTCCACTGCACATGACATGGATTTTGCACACACAAACCCACGACAGTTGTCCTCACTTATGTACAATCCCAACAAAATCCCTCACCATGGTTTGGGGAGGGCCTCCATAGGTTTGACTTCTTTCTGAGGATATAATGGTAGCTCATGGCTGCTGGTGGAGAAATGGCAACCTTCCTTTAAGAGTTTCACTCCTGGATTGATTCCCCAAGGACAATGGATGGACCGCACCCATACAGATATAGCAGCACTAATTAGATTCAATAGGATAAAACATGTAAAACAGATAAGAAAGGGTGGGGTAGAAAGTGAGGAGAGAGAAAGACAGACGGAGAGAAAGGAGACAGAGTTGGGAGACAAATAAGGTGGAGGGTCTTGGTGAGAAGTGGAGTGGGTATGATCAAGGTATAGCGTATAAATATATGAAATATTCAAAGAATGAATATGTTTTTAAAGAGAGACGCCCAAGTCAATGCAGAACCAAGCCAACATGTAAAGACATGGGAAGTAAGTGTAATAGTAAGGTATAATCATCAGGTGTGTTGAAAACCACCTTTAAGAAGGACGGAGAGAGCTGAGTTTAGAGAGGAACGTTTTTATATAGATCATAGGTTGGTGTTAGATGATGTCATGAGAATACTGCACATTTAAGAAATCAATTCTTATGAAGCCTCCAATGCAACAAAATACAGATACACAAAGAATGTAATAACTGTCCTGCCCATGAAATAATTTGTACCATTTGTGATAGTTAATGGGTCTGCACCCAGCCTTATTTGGGCTGTTTTCCATTGGAGTGCAACATGTGCTTCTAAAACAGCCCCAGGAGAGGAGGGCTGTTGGATGACATGCATGGTGACAGCCCTGCAATCTCTGAACTTAGAAGACTCTGGCAGAAAGATAATCATCAATTCAATGGCTGCATGGTCAGCTCCAGACCGGCATCGTGGGAATCCTGTGTCAGCACAGAGTAAAGGGCTCTTTGGCTTGAATCCCATGTTCTTCACTTGACTGTGTCCACTCCCATCCCTCATTCCTTTCCACCTTCCATGCAGCTTGGAAAGCGCAGGTGGATGGTTCTGCCATATGGGAGTCAACATTCTATAGCTTTCTTTCCCCTTTAGTGAGTAAGTATTGGCTTGCGTTGGATAATAGTTTTTGAACATAAATACAAACTAAAATAAATGAGGAGGGTGCTTTTTTTATAGTGTGTACACCAGGGTATATAACCACATACATCACAGACATGCAGCCATCATCCACACAGAGGTTGTCTAGCCTTTCGCTCTGGTAATGTTCTTTATAATCTAGTATTACCACCTATCTAGCTAATGTCAAGTTCATTAAGAACCTAGGAAGAGGCTCTGTGCTGACTTGCTTTTCCGTGGCTTGGGTCACAAGACTTCCTGTGCTTTCATTGTATTTTCAAATGAAAAACTGGCAACAGCTGAATTTTAGACAACATCCTGATGACATTTAAATTAGACTTTAATAGCTCCCTTCCTTTTTATACTGGTAAATGGTACCATGCATTCTTGTTATTTTAATAATCAAATTGTAATTTAAAATTACAGTTTCATTCATTAATCTAATAGAAAGTATTTCTAAGATGCCAGAATTGGGCTCAGCACACACACACACTAAAAAAAATCTTTGCATTAATTTTAGGTAATGATCTGGACTATTCAGTTCCTTGGAGTCATTTCCCAACCTGGCAGCATTATTTATATTGTATTTATAACTTTAAGACACATTTCAGTGCACTGTGTTAAATTTTAAATTAAGAATATAGATGATGTGAGCCTAAAAACTCAGCACCTTTATTACAGTGTCAATATACAGCCACTGAGAATCTCAGACTTAATTCCATGCAATTTATTTCTTCATCCATACTCAGCTATGATGATTGCATATTAGAATCATAGTCCAAATGTAATATGAACAAAAGTAATCAATCGTGATAAATCTTAAGAGAGTTGAGTAACATAATATGCTGGACCCTAGCTTTCGGGTAAATCACAGGCAGAAATGAAGCTTTCAAGAGAAAGGGAGTTCATCTTTATCCTCCGGACTACTTTAAACTGAGTTATCATCAGTGGAGCCTAAGACTAGCAGGCAAATAATTGTAAGTGCACTTTGAAAAATGAGTCTTTATTAAATTAGAACTAACTGTTACATCTTAGATGATGGGAATAGATTTACTGACTTTGTTGATGAATCATGCTACTCAGAAGACAATTTTGAGAGTGTGGCCCATGAATAACATTTTCAATACTCTGTCAGAATGGATTGGCCAAATTAGAGTTAAGAAATGCACGCAGCCAAGGTTGTTTTCTCTTGTCCCGAATGATGGGATTTCCCCCTGCTTTGTTGTATCAGTGGATATGAAATTGCCAACCATATGTAATATTGTTATCAGGAAACAAGCAAGTAAAAGAACAGTAATTTAAGAAATTACTTTTTGGAATATTTGCAGATATAGATGAGTGCAGCGAGTCGGCTGTCTGTGGTGATCACGCCATATGTGAAAATGTGGCCGGAGGATTTAACTGCTTCTGCAGGGAAGGTTATCAGACCTCCACGGGGAAGTCGCAGTTCATGCCTAATGATGGCTCTTACTGCCAAGGTGATTTATAGCCTTCAGTCTTAAACTATATAAAATATTTACTACACATTTGTGAAGTATCAAAGAGCTGCATTTCCAAGATCTGTGCCAGGATTCACTAAGATTGACAAATTTAAAAAGGTGTATTGTTTCACATAGTGGGAAATGGAAGCAGCATGTTTCATTTAGTTCACATTCATTCCCTCTTCCTTAAACCTCTTCTTCCATTTTCTGTGATACATTACACAGTCTGGAACTCAAATGGAGTCCCAAATATTAAAGAATGCACTTTTAATGTTTAAGTGCGCAAAATCACTCAAGTCAACATAATCAGCTCAGGGAAAAATGGATTGTAGACTCACTGTGGAACGTGTTTTCTTTTTCTACAGAAAGTGTGAATTCAAACTGCCACTTAGAGCATGCCTGCATTGTCACAAACGTTAATAAAACCTTAAAAAGAGTAAGTAGACACTTTAGGTTGAAATATATTTTATTTTGACATTTTGATCTCAGAAGTGCTACCAAAGCCCCATTTGAAAATATTAGCAGCTGAACCTCATGTAGAACTGAAACTTTGCATACAGCCAGGTAAGTATTATTTACGTTGCATATAGGATTAATTTGGAACTCCCAAAAGCATTGGGTAAGACTTTATCCTGCTTCGTTTAAGTTACATTTTTTTCATGATTTGGTGTATTAGAAAGTTATTTTCAACATGAAAGGAAGTTGTTGAGTAAAATGGCAAAAACACACATTGGCTCAAACCCAGTCCCGCATTTTAAGGAGATGTAGTTAAATGCAACTAGATTTTGTACTTCAAAGAGAACACTTCAAAGAGAAAATAAAGAAATAAGGTAGGACATACGCAAAATTGCTGTTATGGGATGGAATGGGTGAACCAAACTATGAAAAGTGAACCTTCAGCCAAGGCATTTCTTCATTCTGTCATGTACTGAGGAGTGCTTTGGTGGAAAACAATCAGATTATTGAGTCAAGATTTCTGACTTAGGATATCAAAACTTATATGAACTAGTGAATTTAAATATTGAGATAGGGTCACTTACTGGGATATAATTCTACACTGGAGAAAAGGCAGTTATTTTCAAAATTATTTTTAAATTATCTATTCAAATGTGTTTCTGAAGTACACTAAAGCATCCCCAGCTGCCTGTGAAGCCTTTCTCGATAAATTCTGTTTTCACTGCTACATGTCATGGTTTCAGGCTAATCTGATCATTTGTTATACAGACAAGACAAGAGAATCAACCTCTGGGTAAATTCGAAGTATGTCTTATTCTGGAACTTTTTAATGCATGTGGACTCTTGTCTGGGTGCCATACATGTATGTTCATGTATGTGGCTGCCGTGTGCAGTAGAGGTCAGATGCTGATGCTGGGTGACCTCCTCCATCACTTTTCATGTTAGTGATAGAGTCAGGCACTCTCTCTCTCTCTCTCTCTCTCTCTCTCTCTCTCTCTCTCTCTCTCTCTCTCTCTCTCTTTCCCTCTTTCTGTCTCAGTCTCTATCTCTCTGTCTCTCCCCCCCCCCAGAGCTCACAGTCTATACTATCTGGATAGCTTACAACAGGGATGCTTTGCCTCCACCTCCAAAGCACTGGGATCAGAGTCTGTACACCGGAATGCTGGTTCTCTAACTTAAATGTCAAGTGTTTTTCTCACTGAACCATCTCCCCAACCCCTTAAATCTTATTCTCAGAATTCCCCCAACAGAAATATGATTCTCCTTTTCTAAACTCATTTTATTTCTCAGATTGGACCAATAAAGGACCAGTTGTCTCTACTACAAGAAATTTACAGAAACTCTGAGGGTGAACTCTCACCAGTGGATCTGATCACATACATAGAGATACTTGCCCAACCATCCCCAGTACTAGGTTACATGAACAGCACCACTTCATGCAAGGATGGTCGTTTCAATTCAACTCTTTCTGTGAGTATGTTGATATTTAATCCATAGTGCAGTTGATCTTTAAAATGTTTCCTGTGATTTGGTTCAGTGTGATATAACAATATTTTTAAAGACATGTTTTTCCTTAAATAGGAGTTTGTAAAAACCATCAACAATTTTGTCCAAAAGAATACACTTAAAATTTGGGACCAATTACCTACAAATAATAGACGACTTCATCTCACAAAACTGATGCACACTGCTGAGCTTGTCACCTTAAGAATCTTTCAGAACTTCCAAAAGACGACTCAGTTTGATCTGAACTCTACTGATGTGGGTAAGGTGTGAAGGTAATTGGTTTGCTTCCAAGCAACAGTACTTACCAAACAAGACAGTAAGGTGTGGTTCTTGAAATGCTAATAAATTGTGCATAGTTTTGTCAATGCAGAAATGAATGATAGTTCGTATTACCAGAGAAATATGAATGAAGGTCTATGCTGGTAGAAAGTTTGACAATGTAGTTGTTTCCCCCTGTCTTATATTGCCTCCCTTTTGCTATTCACAAACTGTGTAGCATGAAAGTTTGAAGAAGACATCATCCCCTTGTCCTATTCACTCAGTGATCTCCTGAGCTTAATTTATAATATCTACATCAGAAATTATGGGTATAGTATATTTAAATTTCTATTTAGGAATGCTTAGCCTTGTGATAATATGAGGCTGTTACAATAATGAGGTACACTTTCTTGATTTCTGAAGTTTGCTTAAAAATGCCACTAAAATTATGGATAAAGTTTGAGGATAATTATGAAATTTTTCCAAAGAAGTGAAGTATTCTTTACTAAGTAATCATTACACATGTCTGTATTGCATGTTTGACTAATATCCTGCTGTGCAGTAGAATGTTGACAGAAGGCAAATTAAGAGTGAAAACGATGAGGCTAATTTGTAGGCACACTACATTTTTATGTTTCTGAGTAAGAGAAGTGCTAATGTACCCCAAAAGGGATTATTACTCAATCATTTAATTCTCTCAATTGTTAGAGGTTAAATTATATTTACATTGCAGATAATCTAACAGGCACATCCAACCTTTCCACATTGAGGCAGGACATTGTCATCTACAAAGTTCACATTTGAGAAACAAGCAATTGAGTTTTAAAAAAGTCTAAGAATCTTAAGGTTTCGACTAAGTTTACTCTTTAGTGTGATGTCATATTCATAGCTTGCCTGGGTGAAGGCAGTCTACAGGCTATGGTTTAGACAGATCTATAAGACATTGTAGTCCTTATTGCTTTAGTAAAGGTGTGTGGATGCTTTCGCGTATGTAGTGGTTTTAGTTTCTATTTTAACTCAGCAAAGATTGAAACCATGAATGCAGTCATGAGCGACAAGAAAAAGAAAATGCTAGTCTTCTCAGCATTTAGGCTATGCACTATACTTCCAAAAGCCTAAATGAGCTGGTGTTCAATGCAGTTGTCTCTAAATTTAAAAGATGCATCGTTTAAACTAATTTCAGACTACTTATTTCCATGCTCTTTTTTTCAGCTCTCAAGGTTTTCGTGTTTGATTCAAATCACATGAAGCATGTTCATCCCCATATGAATGTGGATGGAGGCTATGTAAAAATATTCCCAAAGAGAAAAACTTCACATGACTCAACTGGTAGGTTTTCACATCTTATGCACACTCATGTATTTCTAATAAATGCCAACATGTACTTGGCTATGTCATAGAGACACAAGTTATTCCCTATAGAAAAACTTTAAGTACATATGTAGAACATTCATGTTTATACTTGAGATTCATTCTGACATAACCATCTGAGGAAAAAATTAGCCAATGAAATCTTAGTTCTTCATGAAACCCAATTTGTGGTAGTGTGAAGGGATAAGTTTATAAAGTGCTCAGTTGTTGCTTAGGCTTAGACTTTTTTAATTATTCATCATCCCTTGGCTCCTGTAGAGTAAACTCTAAGTCAAATAAAACTTTAAAAAAATTAAGACAAAAATCTGGTAGCCAGCAGTTTAGTGATTATCTAATTTAACAATCTCATTTGGTAGATAATGGAAATAAGGTGTAAAGTTAATGGATTTGTCTTCATGTTTATCAGCAAATAGTTTAGAGCAACACTAGAAAGGAAGAAGTTAATAAAGACATCAATTCAACAAGCTTTTCCTTGTCACCTAACTGGAGTCAAGCAAGTAGCTAAGATTTTAACTTATAGTATCACTTATCTCTTCTTAGAGTCATGCGCACAGAAAAGTCTCCCCACCATAGCATGACTTCTATTATAGTTGTTCTTTTGCAGGTAATGACATAGTGTTGAGGGTAAACATGAATTGGAAACTTTTCTCAGAGTGTATGGATCATCATAAATGTAGATGAAAACTAGACAGTAATTGTACACAGAAACTGCCTTATGAACAGTCAGGATTTATTTTTAATGACCACTCCACAACACAACCTCATGATATTTTCTGTTTTGTTTCATTTAATTTTGTTTTCCACTGCGTAGGATTTTTTTCCTCTCCTCTTTATCCTCACCATTATTTATTTTCTGATCAAAGCGAAAGACATAGTGTTACAAAGCAAATGAAAGATAACAAAGACGTATTGCCACTGAACCCTCAGCTCATAAGCTACTAAACCACACTGTAATCAACAAAGCACACATATAATATTTGGTCAACAGTTGAAATTTCAAAGACAATTTGAATAGTGTTTAGAAGTTGTGGAAAACACATTGAAAATACCTATTATGGTGACAAATGTTGAAATTGTCAGCAAATTAAAATCTCAGAGCAATGCTGACTGATTGCACGGTAGTTTTGTTACGTTTAATGCTGGCATACATAAAGGGACAGTTGAGAGAGACAGTAAGATCAGATCTCAATAAGGCAGAATGAAAAAAAATGTCTTTTCCTCAAGGCTGAATCTTAAAAGAGGGGCAAATGGGCAAACTGATGTCTCCTTTCAATGAAGTCTGCACGAGATTTTACTTGTAAAATTCATTAGAAAAGACACACCATCATGCCATTTGTGGGAATGCAGAGGGGATCGAGAGGCACAGATGAGTTTTATATTATTTTGTGAGCTCAATTTAGAAACATGATAGGGATGGGGTGACAAGACAAGATTCAGTGCTCTGAGCCATTAAATAAAAACATAATAGACTTGTGCTAAGGAATTATACAAGCTTTCTTTTAAGTATTTGCAAAATTGGGATAATAGTCAGATACCCAAGCAGACCACTGAAGAATGTCCTGCTGAGAAGATCATTTAGCATTAAAAAAAATGAGCATGAAGCCATTTGGAAACAAGAGTTTCAAAGAAGAAGTTCACTATATGATCTACGTTGGAAAACTTACTCTTGAATTTTAACTTTCAGGAAAATCTTAACTTTTTTCACCCTGATGGTTTTTCAGTAATCTAGATAGGTTGCAAAGCATTAGTGCATTGCTGGGGAAAAATTGACTGGTAGCATTCCAACAGAAAAAAAAGAAAGAAAGAAGAAAAACAAGTGAATCTAAGGGAAAATAGCTACTAACAAGCACACACACACACACACACACACACACACACACACACACACACACACGCACACACACATTAAGATGATATCTCCAGAACTTTAACACAGTCATTTACCTAAATAAATACACAGTTGCTGTAGACATTGAATGAAACACTGGTTTTTTTTTTTTTGGTTGTTGTTGTCCTTAGAAAAAAGGATATGCTAATGCTAACAGAATATAGAAAGATTATAGGACAAAAAAGCATAAACATAATCAAATAATGAGAGAAGATGGAATTCAGTATGAAATGATGTAGTCTTTTCAAACAGTCTACACCTGCAATCCCTTTTGTTGGTGAGAGAGCTTTATTTTTTAGTAGAAGGTACAGATTCGCCGTGTAGGTTAGAGACCATCTGGCAGGGAAGCTTCGAAGAGGAAAGATCTGTTTGACTCACGGTTTTGGAGGGTCCATTCTGAGTCAGTCTATCACAGTGGGGAAGGCTTGGAAGAGTTCATGGCAGACAGAAGTGGAGAAAGCAGGATGGAAACGGGAGTAAAAGTGACAGTGACCTTCAAAGTTTCAAGCATAGCGAGCTACTTCTCACAAAGCAGATAGCGTCTCCTAAAATCTCTCTAGCCTTCAAGATATTCCACCAGCCAGAGATGAAGCTTTCAAAACATAACTGATTAGGGGACAATTCACACTCAAGGTAACTTCTGGTAAGGAAGTTCAAAGCTTAATTAGTTGCAAAATTATCAAGAAATCATCAGAACTGGAAAGGTTCAGAATGCTGGGGGAACTGTCGAACGCACATTCATTAATGGAATATAAAGGGGACTTGGGAGATTTCTGTGACACTCCTTGTTCAAAGTCACAAACCGATGTTTTTAAAAAATACCATTTTATGTAGCATTGATGAATAGAATAATTTAAAGATATCTTTTTTAAAACCAACTTTGACCCCTAAGAAGCAACCATTCCTCTCAATGTACTTCATGACTCTTGAAGTTTTCAGTTGTCCCTAGTCAGTCCACAGAGAACATTAGCATCACAGTCTTCTCCGAGAGCACAAATGCATCAGACTGTTTCAGTTAGGATTCTGTAACCCTAACCAAAAAGCAATTGAGGGGAACAAAGTGTTTATTTGACTCACAGGTTTCAGTTCATCACAAAGAGAAGCCAAGGGAGACTTTGGCAGCAGGAACTAAAGAGACACTGTGGATAAGTCTGCCCACTGGCTCCTTCTCAGGCTTATATATGGCCACCTTCCTCACCCAGCCCAGACATACCCTACCAGTGACAGCCCTGCCCACGAGGTTTGACCCCTACTGTATTAATTAGCATTCAAGAAAATGCCTAGAGGCAATGCCTGGAGCTCAATCTAATGGAGGCATTTCTTGAGGTTCCCTCTTCCGCAAGCATTGACAAGCAAGTTTAATCACCACATAGATTGATATCTATATTTCACAGATAGATGTCTTTCAAGCTGGTAGGTCAAAGAAAGATTACGTGGTGTATCTAGGTTAAATAAAGCCTCATAACAATTAAAACTAATAGTAATTTGGAAGCTATGCCTCACATGAGTGTGTGGAAGGAATGCTACTTTTCAGTGTGTGGCGGAGGAGCCCAGTTTTGTGACCACAGTGCTTTCTGAATACAATATCAATATTTATATTTGTAATTCTGCAGCATGGGGTTGTAGTCTGAGACTATATTTGAGCAGTGCTAAGGTAAAACAAGGATCCTCTGACTCCACAGAACCAAATGTTTTCGACATCAGGAGGGAGCATTGCAGTGATTACAAGGTCCACCTCAGTATCACACACCACAGCTTAATCAGTTCTCTGTCCCCTTCATTCCAATTCATTGGCACATGGGTTAAAGCTTGTTTCTTTGGGGGTGAATATGTCTCAAATTCTGGCCCTCTGTGAGGATAAGGCTGTCAAATTATCTACGAATAGCTTTCATCCAATCGAAGTTTGTGTAAAGGTGATGCCACAATAGTTCACAGAGGTCAAAAATGTAAGACATGATAATGTACACATGAGATATTGTACCACGCATTCCGATCACAGCGTCCACGATTTCTGCGGAGTATAACTTTAGTCTTCTCAGTAGTTCACTGACTGCATTTATTTGATTGACAGGCAGTGCTGTCGTTGCATTCCTGTGCTATAAGAGCATTGGCCCCTTGCTTTCCCCATCTGACGACTTCTTACTGGACCCTCAAAATGATGATAATTCTGAAGAAAAGGAGAAAGTCATTTCCTCTGTGATTTCTGCCTCAATTAGCTCAAATCCACCCACACTGTATGACCTTGAAAAAATTACATTTACACTAAGTCATGGAAAGGTAAGTTGTTGTCCAGGGTTACTTAAAATTGTTATGTATTCAATGAACTGGAATGTTTTGGTAGCATTACTTTAATTACATGTGAGTTTTAGAGAGAAAGTATATTGAAAATTAAACAAAAAGGAGATATAATTTTGATCCTTCTTTTCCAGTGATGAGTAGAAACCAAGTCCTTCAGTTCTATGTTTGTACTCCACCAATGAGCTACAACTCCAGCACTCGACCAGTTTTTCTATAAAATATTTTGCATTTCTAGTTCTTCTTGTCAATGCCTATGAGTCACATGTTTAGTGTTCTAAGATTAAGCTATCTCCTAGTTTTATTTTAAATACTTTATTAATTCTGGCAATTTCTAAGCTCATATCTTTAAAAATATAAAGATGTTATTTAAGAGCTTGTGTAATGGTTCAGTGATCCTAGCCTGACAACCTGAATTAATCCCTCAGGACAACATGTACATGAAAGAAGGGGGAAACCACATCCTGCAAGCTATCAGGAATCTCCACATGGGCGCTATGCTGAGTACACACACACACACACACACACACACACACACACACACACACACACACATGACTAAACATCATCTCCCAGGAAAAGTCTCTTTGACTACTTTCCATTCTATTTTTTTCTTCTTTCTCATTTGCTTTTCTCACTTCACAATTTTTGTTTACAAGTAGAATGTAAGATCAACAGCAATACACATCATCTTGGTCAATATTGTCTTTTTAGTCCATAATTGCTTAATAAAAACTATAAGCAATTGCTGAATGAATACAGAATGCCTGTAATGGCATTTTGTTTTAAATACACATGATCTCACTTAATAAAAAGTATCACAGTTCTACAAAATTGAAAAACTGTAGCATTGCGGAAACATAATTTTCAAACCTGTTTTAAAAAGAATGTCATTTGTTCACATTGATCCTGTGTTTACAGGTTAAGCATTGTGCTAATCCTATCCAGTGATGTTTTAAATACAACCAAAGCAGTGCTGATGCATATTGTCCCATGAGTGGAATGTCTATCTTTTGTTAGGTCTCAGATAAGCACAGGACACGGTGTGCCTTTTGGAACTATTCAGCAGACGCCATGAACAATGGCAGTTGGTCATCTGAGGGCTGTGAACTGACATATTCAAATGACACCCACACCTCCTGCCGCTGCAGTCATCTGACACACTTCGCAATTTTGATGTCTTCTAGTACCGCCGTTGTAAGTCCGGTTTGTGCTTCATGCTCACAGAGCTGCCTCATCATTCACTGTCCTCGCTCTCCCTCTTCCTACCTCATATGAGCACAAAGGACGACCCTTTTGTATTGTACTGGGGGCCAACTGTATGCTTACTGTAATCAAAAAGCCTGGGTTGTTGTTGGGTTTGGTTTGGTTTTGTCTTTGTTTCTTTCCTTCCCGTCTAGTAAATTCATAATAGGGAATATTTTTTAGTTTATTTCCTATCAAGGGCTTGTCTAGACTGTAACGTCTGTTAGGTTGCATGTTAAAATTACTCTTTCCATTACTCTGGATTTTACATGGCGTTTCAATAGCTATTCATGAAATGTAGTGTCATGGTATCTGGAAACCTTTCCCTTTATAATGGGATCATTTTGATGCCTGATAATATTTGGCACTTTTTTACTCAATATGTCTTTAAGAGCAAAAACAAAAAAAAACCACAAAGATTTTCAAACCTAAAAAGAAAATTAAGGTAAATATCCTTATAAAATATATTTTGTTTCATCAGTATTTCCTTAGTCTGCATGGTTATTATTATTATTACATAACTTTTTTTTTGGTTTTTACAAAACAGCATTTCTCTGTATTGTTTTAGAGGCTATCGGTCCAGCCCAGCCTCAAACTCACAGAGATCCACCTGCCTCTGCCTCCCGAGTGCTGGAATTAAAGGCATGCGCCACCACTGCCCGGCTCATAACTTTTTTCTTTGTATTTCTATGTTGCAATCTTCATCAGGTTGCTGATTCTAAGTTTCTCAATCAGGACATTGATTTGCTTCCATTAATACTTAATAATCCATGAGGTTATGAAGGGTCACGATACATTTGTTTTAAGTAGTATCAATCATAAAGATGATTTCTGTCCAGGGTATTGGGGGATAAAGCTTCTTTTCTTTATGTAAAACTAAACAACTCATCTCCATTTCAGTCTCCACTAGAGGATTTTGGTCTTCCATATACCCCTTTTCTCTTTTACCTGTGTTTAATGTGTTTTAGATGAATTACCTCACAGACATAGCCTTGGACTTACCACTGATAAATCTGCTTTAATTAACCATTTTCCCATTACAATGATGAATTACCTTTCCAATATCATGCAACTGATGGTGATAACATTATTCAGCCATGTACTAATATATACTATGCTTAGAGAAAAAAAACCCTAATTATGGTGCTGTTAGCCTGCTACATGATTTATATCAGATTTCTCAGGATACTAAGTATAAGTTTTTCTCATCTAAATGTACATTTTTACTTTTGCGTTTTATGAACATTTTGATTAATGCTTCCCAGAGAAGCTCGATAGGGATTGTAGTCCCTTTGATAAGTCACTAAGTCTTTCTCCTAACAGTGCTGTTACTATTTGCCCTTAGGGAATTAAAGATTATAATATCCTGACAAGGATCACTCAGCTTGGGATAATTATCTCCTTGATTTGCCTTGCCATGTGTATTTTCACCTTCTGGTTCTTCAGTGAAATTCAAAGCACTAGGACCACAATTCACAAGAACCTCTGTTGCAGCCTTTTCCTTGCAGAACTTGTCTTTCTTGTTGGGATCAACATCAACACAAATAAGGTAGGCAACCTGCCCCCCACTGTGCCTTATTCTTATTTTCTAACCGAACAAGTCATGTAAACATGAACTTTAATAAAAGTCTTAATTCCCCATGGAGGGCCTAACCCTCCCTAGGGAACAGAGTGGGGATTGGGTGGGGGCTGGGGGGACTGGGGGGCGGCTAGTGAGGAGGGGAGGGAGAGAGAGCAAGGACTGACATGTGAAACAAGCTTGTTTCTAATTTAAATATAAAATTAAAATAATTAATTAATAAACAAAAGTCTTAGTGGGTCAGACATGTCAGATAATTGTTTAAGTTATCTTCTCTAGGTTTTTATGATGGTATTATATCTAAAGGACATACATCAAATTCATTAAACAACAAAAGCCCTTCATTATGTGAATTATTGGGAAAACCAAATTTTGGTTTTTGGTGGTTTTTTTGGGGGGGTGTATAAAATGTTCTCCTTTTTTCTTTTCTTGTTTTTCTTTAAATTGTAAACCAGCTTGTTTTGCATGTGGATCCTAGTTCCCTCTACCTCCCCTCCTCCCCTACCCCCACCGACCTCTCTATCCCATCCTCTTTCTGCTCCCCAGGGAGAGTAAGTCCTTTCAGGGGAGGAGCTTCAATGTTTGTCAAATTTTTATACCAAAGAAATACCTGGTTTTGCATGGGCAATTGGAAATGGATTCTGTTTTAGAATTGAGAGTAAGCACAAAAACAGGTGGGGTAACCTGGGGCCTCACCAAAGAGTTTCATTAATCTGTATCTGCGCAGAAGTGAACCCTATAATGGAATTAAACATGAAACACCTTTATTAAAGGATTGTTCATGAGAGAAAAAATGGTGTTGCAGGCTGGAAGAGCCAGCAGACCAGGTCTCGGCCATTTATACCTGAGGTAGAGAAAGAAGAGAAGTGAGCATCTAAGAAGTTCATCATGGTTTCCATGGAGTCCTTTCAGAACCCTTTACTGATCACAAGAATCCTCCTTGGTCTCCAGGCAACGAGGAAGTCTGTAACCCAGCGGCGGTCAACAGCCCTAGGTTAGGATGTGAGCAACACTGAAGTTCACACAACAGTACCAGTTAGAATTCTAAACACCTCCCACACATTGATAGAGAAATGAATTTTTGGGGACCACAGACCAGGAAAGTGCCTGAGCCTTTCTGTTCCTCTTGGAATTCTTCCCAGGACTGAAGCTAGTCATTGCATTGTCCTTCTGAATTAGGTATCATGGAACATCCATTTTAATTAGTTTACACAAACTGTTTCTACACTAGGCATGACACTTCTCCATTTCATACACCCCTCAGCCCTCCAGTGTGAATTTCCTCCCTGCCCCATTTCCCTTATCTTCGCTCTACAACTATTGCATAGAGAGTTTTTGTTAACTCTCCCCCATCACATGTATCCATTCCCAAGCTCTATCTCATTACCAGTTTCCTAAGTGTCTTCCAAATTTCAGCTTCCAGAGATCTTTCTCCTCCCCAACTTTATACATATGTCTTCAACATATTTTGACATGCAGTTTCCTTGGTCTCAAACTATACTCTTTTTACATTTTTACATTTATTTATGTTATGAGTGTTTTACCTGCACGCATGTGTGTATACCACTTGCATCCGGGGAGTTCAATAAAACGTCATTGGATCCCTTGGAATTGTAGTTGCAGATGGTTGTGAGCCACCATGGGTGCTGGCAACCACACTTTGTCTTCTTAAGGAACCAATGCCTGTAACCACCTAGACATTTCTCCACCTCCTCTATTGTTTTAATAAGGGGAATGAGTACGTATGACCTGTGACCTCTCCACTAACAGATACTATTAAGTTTACTAATTTATTAAATTCCACTAAATTACTAAAATTTACTAAGTTACTAATTTTAAAATTACTGATCGGGTTTTTACAAACCTAACTATAGGGGCTAGAGAGATGGCTCAATGCTTGCAAGGACTTGCTACTCTTGCCTAAGAACATAGTTCAGTCCCTCTCACAGGTGGTCACTCAAACCACCTGTTAAGTCCAGACTCCAGGAACCCGACACCCTCCTCTGACCTGCAAGGATACCACCATCATACACTACATATACACACAAGTACATACACAAGTATACACATACTTTTAAAAAGCAAATTCAAATCCAATTCCAATCCTAAGTAAAGAGTAAATACTCGTGAAAAACGTTGACTAAAACAAATCTCAAATGTATATAGTCATCGTGCAACTAGAAGGCATTCTGCAGTGGATATTTTAGTTAATCATACTATTTGTACATTTTAAATTTTAGCCCTTAATCGAGATGCTCGCTTTGTTTTGTATGGGTTAAAGGTAACTCACGTTCTTCCAACTTTGTTAACATGGAAAGAAGGAGAACCGTCTCCAGACAGAATTGTTTAAACCATCATTACGGCCACTGGGAAACGAGTCGCTTCCTCGAACCCAGCTTATTCTAGAACATCAGTGCGTAAAATTGACAAATCCCTGGACAAGCCAATAGCTTAATTTTTCACGAGGTCCATGGACGCTTGCAGTGGGGTGGGGGGGGCGCTCTTTCAAATGGGCTGCAAGTGGCACATCTTCGTCTTCAAGACTGGCGAGACAGGAATATGTCAGTGTGGTCACTCGTGGCGGGAAGTGACACCCTTCCTGAAGAAAGCTGAGAGGCGGTACAGTTCTAGGGAGGTCGCTGCTCATGGTACAGTTCTAGGGAGGTCGCTGCTCACGGTCTCCCCTTCTTCTGCATCGCAGTTGGTCTGCTCCGTGGTCGCTGGGCTGCTTCATTACTTCTTCCTAGCGGCCTTCGCCTGGATGTGCATTGAAGGCGTACACCTGTACCTCATCGTCGTGGGGATCGTCTACAACAAAGGGTTTCTGCACAAGAACTTCTACATCTTTGGCTATCTCAGCCCAGCCGTGGTCGTCGGATTCTCGGCGTCCTTGGGATACAAGTACTATGGTACCACCAAAGTGTAAGTAAAACGGGCTTTGTGAGCATGGGAAAGACACCACCGAACACTCTGCCTGTCTCTGAGAGTGCTGTTTTCCTGCAGTCCGTGCAACATGTTTACTGATTTCATCTCTCACTTCTCAGATGCTGGCTGAGCACTGAAAACAACTTCATTTGGAGCTTCATAGGACCGGCGTGCCTAATCATTCTTGTATGTATATACAAACTGCTATTAAAACGTAAGGGTTAGCTGTGGTTGAGAAGAAACAGCCCAAATCAGACATTCCGCTTTGTAAAAACTGATTTTGAACATTTTGTGTCTTGTCATTTGGTGCCATTTAACATATTGAATTAGGATGGAGAAAAATACATAACTTATAAGTGAAAAGCAATTACCATTCGTCTACTTTCTTGGGGAAGGATAGGCTTCTGCGTAGCATAAAATAAGGATGACAGATGTATCGTTCTGTCTTCTCAGTAGTGGCTCTCCATCCTGAAACCCTGAAAGTGTGCCAACCAACTGATAATCTGGCATTTCAAATGTTTACGTTATTTAATCTTTTATCAATGATCGGTCATCTTTGAAAATTAGACTGTCATCTTAAGAGTTTTGTCGTCTTTATGTACCCTGTCATCACAAAGTGATTTTAAACTAAATTGCAACATCAGAGGCAAGAACCCGCTATTTCTCACAAGCAGACAAGTCAGCTACTGCTTGTCCTATTTCAACAAGGAAGAAGGCCTTTTAATTCTTATTGAAAGTGGTTTCAAACCTACAAATTTGGCAGGTATTATATGTTCCATTCTAAATAAAGACATTTTTATATGTCTCGCGAGCATTTCTGAGTGCTGAAAGTTTGCAGCAGCCGTTCTGAATATAATAGTCTGTCAATGAGTCAGGGACATCTGAGGAGATGCCAGAATGGAACAAACTGTCAGAACAAAAACCGTGACAATATTTTGGACAACTTTGTCCCATACGATTTGGCTATAAACTAGTCTCCCTTTTTTCTTTTTCTCTCTTTTCTCTTGAATCTTTTATGTTGTGAGGGAATGGCTAAGGGAAAATTACTTCATATACAAGGCAGAGAGCTCTTATCTAGCTTTTTTTTTGCTAGTGATATGGGTAAAATCAAGTGCATTCAAAAATATGCTTCTTGATGACCATAGACAATTGTTTATTATTCTCAGAATTAATCCAGCAAGTACTTTTAAACTAGTGGCTAGATACTGGCTACAATTATTTGAGCTAGTACATTTTATTACAGCTCTAGTATTACAGTCCTTATCATAATACAGACTAAGTGGTTTCCAATCTGTACAGCTTCACTGGTAGATGTTATATGAGTATTTCATGTGAAAACATTGATGTGTTCTCTTCTGAGTTCTTCCCAACAAAGCAAGTGAATGTCCTGCAAACAATAATTCTTCATGCTTAGATGAAACATGGAAATCTAGGAATTCTACTGAAAGCAGGAAGAAATGGGGCCATGTTTCTCTAAAGCAAGATGGGGAAGTAATTTTCTCTAAAACTCACATTTTGAAGTTGCTTATCAATGAAGATAGATACCTCAGAGGGAATTACTCAGACTCAGGGTGGGCTATCTACAATGGAACTCTGAAGACCTTCCAAAAGTGTAAATTGACTCCATCACAATGTTCTGGTTTGGGGCCAGGAAATCTGTTGACCTCTGAACAGTTTTAACATGCTAATTCTCCCCAGGTTAATCAGAAGGTGGGGTTCCTTTGGTCGTTGGTTCCTTAAGAAACACAACATTCTAATTATTGTGTTTTATGAAATACCCCCAAACTATTGTTATATCAAAGTGAATCAGCTAATCCCAATCTTCCTGACCCTGCAGCCGCTAGTCAAGATGCACATTTACGCATCTTGATGGTACAATGGCATGGCACCATTGATGTTATTGGAAACATTTCTGGAGCCACAGAGTGTTATCTTGTTCAATGACAAATTGAGAGACACTGTGTGCCGCTCATTTTTGTTTCTTGGCCTGAGTTCCCGCATGTTTTTTTGTAGAGAGACAGCAGGGCAGCCATGTGTCATCATAGATAGTTTACACCTGGGAGTCTTTGGCCACACTGGAGCGCAGTGTTTCTAGACTTACAGAAAGGTGGTGGTCACTCAAGAACAGCAGGGCATGGCGAAAACACTTTTATGAGCTCACTGAAGTGTGTCTCATGGTGGGAGGCCCCATGTGAACACAGAGACCACCACCCACTTTGATTAGGGTTCCCTGCAGATGTCATGCTCACTGTAGTATCTCATAGGGCAGAAGGAAAAGAGGTATTGTGCAGTATTCCTGAAAATGAAAGAACAGGGAATGTACAAAAAAAATAACTTCAGCTCTTTTACAAACAGAGAGATATATCTAGGCATGCTGGTGCTTAAAATCTAATCTTAGAATTTGAGATACTAATGCAAGAATATCAGGGCTCCACAGTCATCTTCAGCTACATAGCAGTTTCAGACCAGCCTGGGCTAAAGAAGACCCTGCCTCAAAATAAAACATGAAAAAAGAGAAGGGAGAGGAAGGGAGGGAAGGAGTGAGTGAGGCAGGGATTAAGGCAGGAAGGAAGGAAGGAAGGAGGGAGAGAAGGGATGAAATAAGGAAGGAGGAAAGGACTAAGGGACCACTATAGACGTTTTTTTAATGAGTATTCAAGAATTAACTTTCACACAGCTTACCACCCTGGACTAGACTGTTATTTCTAACTAAAAACTATACTAACTAGTACCAAGTAAATAAATTTATCTAGTTCTCCTTTTTAACATTCAGACCTTTTTATCCCCCACTAAATTTCTAGTATCAATAATATTTGCTTTACAAATTACTAAGTACACACACCTCTGATACACATTGGTAGTACTCAATACTCCTTATCCTTAGCTATCCTGTAGTTTTATTATCTCAATGGAGCATATGAAAATGGGAGTTGAAACTGGTGAGTGACTGGCGTAAGCGATAGCTCCGTAAGTAGGACTTGAAAGTGTTTCATTTTTCTCCTCTCCTGTAATTACCTTCTCATCTTTTGTCTGTACCGCTATATCTCATGTTAAGATAGTCTGAGCAGACATAATGTCATTCCTACCATCTTGGTCTCAGTGCTGACTGTTCTGCTTGCCAAGACAAGTCAAGACTGGAGAGTAATGATGGCTTTCTTGTAAATACATTTCTCCTTCCTGTCTCCAACCTTACCTTATCGTGTCTCTCCACAGCGTAGCCTTTATCCTTGTTGGGACACTTGCTTGAAAGACTCTGGGAGTCTTTTCCTTCAATAATCTTGATATTTTCCATGAGGTTCTGCTTTCAGAAATCATTAATTAGTGCAGAGACCCATAGAGTCCTTCCCAGACCAGAGCTATTCTATTTCTCTAATTGCTCCGTAAAATTCGGGTTCCATTCCTCTGTTGTACCTTCAACACTTTTTTATTGCACATGATAACTTTCTGTGCACACCTTTGAGCAACTCTAGAATCCAGAAAGGCATAATGAGTCCTTAGTGGTGATGTTGTTTTGTTTTGTTTCTTTTGAGACAGGGTTTCTCCGTGTAGCCCTAGCTGTCCTGCTCCTAGCTCTTGTAGAGCAGGGTGGCCTCAAACTCCCAGAGATCTGACTGTCTCTGCCTCCTGAATGCTGGGATTAAAGGTGTGCACCACCAACTGCCTGGCTGAAAGTCATTTTTAAATTTTTAATTGATTTGCTATTAAAACCTTAGTAATGCATGAGGCAACAAGGAAAGCTATGTGGTCTTTCTTTGGGTGGTGAATTTCTCTGTGTCCTAGACTCCTAAAAGATAAATGAAGAGAATAATGCCAGGATAACTCAACATTGCAATGATAAATGCCATACTTTATGAAGTATCCATTCTTTAGCAATTAATAAAAAAGGAAAATCTGAAGTTATTCAGGAGAAAATCTCTTGCTACTTTCCTATTCTTACCCTTTGTGCTGAAAAAGCCAAACAAAGAGACAAATTTGGAAACAGGATTTCCAAAGACCCAAATCATATGCATTAGAATATGTGTGATCCAACACAACACATTACAACACATGTGCATATGTGAGCCTGTGCTGATCCTAGCTTTCCAAATGTTAGGGAATATGTCACAGCATTTAATTATGGCATACTAAGTTTATGTGCCTGCTATTATCTAGAGTTTGTGGCTTGAAGTACACACTGCCAGAAATGAAGTTAACCAAAATAGAGAAAATAAAAAATATTGTTTCCAGAATACAGTAAAGTATAAGAGAAGCTTTACGTTTAAATAGGTAGTTGGTGTTGATGGTTTTATGGCCTTAAATGACACACAGGCCTTGTCTGAGGTGTAAGGATGCTGTGGGACCCTCTTCAGTCATCATTGTCTCACATGATGACCTGAACGCCATCTTCAAGACTGAGCCACCTTGTCACTTGCTAGTGTTCAGGAACAGAGCTCGGGGGGGGGGGTATGTGGCTGGCTTTGAAGAGTTAAAACACAGAATTCCTTAGAGATCCCCCTCCATTTTCCTTCTCCCCAGATAGGCTCCCCTTATGTCTCCCTTCAGGAAAGAGCAGACATTCAAGAGACAGCAGCCAAACACAACAAAGCAATATACAACAAGACAAGGCAAAAGCCCCCACGTGGATGCTGGACAAGACAGCCCAGAGGGAGGAAAGAGTCCCCTGAGAGGCAAAAGGGTCAGATAACAGCCACTCCCACTGTTTACAGCCATGGCGTATGTGCAGAGGATCTGTTGCAGACTCATGCAGGCCCTGTTGCTACTTCAGTCTCTGTGAGCCCATGTGAGCCCTGCCTAGTTGAATCAGTGGCCCATGTACTCATGGTGTCCTCCATCCCCTCTGACTCCTACAGTCTCTCATCCCCTACTTCCCCAGGACCCAAGGGGAAGGACCTGATGGAGACCTCTAATACTCCAAAATTCATTAAAGCTGTGATCTTTCATTAGGATTCAAATCAGAACTGTTGTAACAGAGCAATGCGGGGTTGCATTCACCCCAGCAGAACCCCACTCAGGTATTGAAACATTCCCCTCTGGTTCCTCCTTCTGTGCCTAATCTGGCTTCTTTTCAAGAAATGCCGATGCAAACTACTGAAAATGTATTATTCATTTAAGTCACACAAGGAAGGACTTGTGAATGTGTGTGTGTGTGTGTGTGTGTGTGTGTGTGTGTGTGTGTGTGTGTACCA